ACTTGCTATGTTTGGGGCATGTGTCTCTGTTAGGTGGTGCCAGGAGATACAAAAGGTACATAAGTTCAGGGCCCCTTGTGGAATTCCCATTCAACTCGGGGAAACAGAACATGCCCGTGTGAAATGTTGGGGAACCGTTACAGAACAGAACTGTTCAAAGTGGAAATGCCATATCATCCCAAACTACAGACCCAAGTGTTGAAGGGACCGGACAGTGGGAGAATGATCAGAATGACGATTCATGTAACAAGAAAATCCTTTATAGTCTCAGAATACTTGGGCCTTGGCAAAACCCTCTCACACGCTACCTCATTTACTTCTCCAAACCACTCTACGGAGTAGAGATTATCTTCATTTTAAAAACAAGAAAATTCTATTCAGAGGCATTCAGAGTCTTGCTTCAAGTCATGGGACTCTCACGTGAACCTCCTCACTCGAAACCTGAGGGCTCTCCCCACCAGGCAACACAGCCGGGCACACAGCTGCATTTCCGTTGATAATCAAAACGTGGCAAGAGACTCAGCGACTTGCAGAGCCAAACAGGAAGCGTGGGGTCAGGCCATGCTTTAACCCCAGGCCTGGGGGCAGCCTTGCTGATGCTGCTCCGCGAATCTTCCTTTTGCAGCTATCAGGGTCTTTGCGGGGTCTTCCCTTTGGTACCAGGAGGAGAAGATGCTAAAACAGTTAACAAAGGAAGCTTCTGGAGGTGAGGTAACATCACAAGAAGAACATGAGGAAGGCAGTATGGAACTGGGCCTGAGGGATGCAAAAGGGCAGAGGGCCATGAGGCAGGCTGGTGATGGCCTCGGCGTCCACCCAGCCCACACGATCCCGTAAATCCACCTCTAGATGTCTGTCTGCGTTCCTGCCTTTGCAGCTGATGTTTCCTCCAAGAGTTCTGCGCACAGAGGTGATAATAAAGCCTCACACGAGGAATGAAGCGACCCAAATCTCCCCTGAGTTGGCATCAGGGGCTCAGCAGATCTAAAGGGATTTCTGTGACTGAGTCTTACTACCGAGTCTCACTGGGCCAGTTTAGAGGAGAAGCACAGAGCCTGGGATTCCAGCCTGGATTTAATGACTTGTTCACATGTCTGCCTCCCCCACTGAATTGGAAGGACAACACTGGGCCTAATTCAGATTAATAGAAGAATTTAATCAACACATTAAATTGAACAAACTAGACCTGGCTCTACTTCAGTATGACTTTAGGCAGACTCTTGAATGTCTCCATGCCTTAGCTCCTTCAGTTTTCAAACGGGAACGAAACTATCTGCCCCACTGACCTCATCTGTCATGGGAACCAGGTAAGTAATGAGCAGTAATTTTTTAAAAGATTTATTTATTTATTTTAGAGAGAGAGGAGAGAAGGGCAGAGGGAGAGGGAGAGAGAATCTTAAGCTGACTCCACCCTGAGCCTGATGCAGGTCTCGATCTCATGACCCTGAGATCACTACCTGAGCCGAAACCAAGAGTTGGTACACTTAACGGACTGAGCCACCCAGGCGCCCCTACATATGAGCAGTATTAATGCTTTCTAGTCCCACAGAAATAGAAAGGATTAATTTGAGCACTTATAAAACAACTTGCAGGTGACCCTGGGTTGGATACATCATATACTTGGGAAATTTTCCCCACGTTATTTTTTTGTCAAAACTTTCACAGTAGACCCTCTTAGGAAGTATTTTCTGCCTCACTGATTCAACCCCTGATGGATATTAGCAGGCCAGTAAAGGCAAGTTTTCTCTGGGACTGCGAGAGATTGCTAGGTGTTCCTCCATCAGTCTGGGTGGAGCCATCAGACAAGGTAAAAAGAAAGTAAGAGCCGTGTGCCTTCAGGAATCTCAGTGTTCTTCCTGTTGACCATGGGCTTAATTCAACCAAAGACTGGGAAAGGGAACATAGCTATCATTAAAAAAAAAAAAAAAAAAGGCAAAAAACCAGCACTAGAAAATTTCATTTTTAAGGAACTTACAGGCATTTGCGATTTTTCTCTTCTACATGTGGGTAGCTGCCCCTGTCATGGGACCAGCCAGTCCCTGGGCCTTCCCTGAGCAACCTGAGGGAGGGCTGGGATCTCTCTGCTGTAGCTCTTCTGCACACAAGGGCCCTGTGGCCCAGAGGGTCCTGTTCAAGTATCAGGTGCTCCGTGGGAAACCACACACAACAGGTCTCCCTGAGACCTGCCAACACCTGGACCAGGTGAGCACATCAGCTCTCCATCTGGAAGCCATGGTTTGGGTGAGAGGGAGCTCTGCTAGGGTGGAAAGTCTGGGGCAGCAGAGAACCCAGGGGCATGGAGGCTCACTGAGAGGGTGAAAATAAACATCACTCTTTCTTGTATTCCAACACAGACCCAGTTTTCCCATTTAGTTTCTCGTCACTTACTGTTATCATCGTATGGACCTCTCTCCCTCCCCTCCTCCTTCCTCCAACAAGGAACACCTCCTCCGTTCCAGGTCCTTGTACAGCACTGAACCGGTTACCAAGATAACCGCAAAGACCTCAGTCTCCTGGGCGACAGGTAATCCTACTATGGGATACCTTGTCTTATTGCTTTATTGTACTTCCCAGATACCATGTTTTTTTGTTTTTTTTTTAATTGAAGGCTTGTGGCAACCCCGTGTCAAGCAAGTCTACAGGCACCATTTTTCCAACAGCATTTACGCAGTGTCTCTCTTGGTGTCACATTTTGGTGATTCTCACGAAGAGTTCAACTTTTTCATCATTATTATATTTGTTATGGTGATCTGTGATCTTTGATGTTACCATAGCAATTGTTTTGGGGCACCATGAACCATGCCAATATAAGACACATATAATAAATATATTATTATATATATTATAAATAAACATTGTGTGTGTTCTGACTGCTCCACCAACTGGCCATTCACCACCACCCCCTCCTTGGGCCTCCCTGTTCCCTGAGACATGATATTGAAATCAGGCCAATTAATACCCCTCCAATAGCCTCTGCGTGTTCAGGTGAAAGGAAGAGTCACCTGTCTCTCACTTTAAATCAAAAGCTATAAATGATTAAGCTGAGTGAGGAAGGCATGTTGAAGCTGAGGGGTTGAAAAAGTTAGGCCTCTTGAACCAAACAGTGAGCCAAAGCTCTTGAAGGAGGTTACAAGTGTTATTCTAGTGAACATGCAATGATAAGAAAGTGAAACAACCTTACTGCTCATATGGAGAACGTTTTGGTGGTCTGGATAGAAGATCAAACAGCCATGACTCCCTTAAGCCAAAGCCTAACCTAACTTATGGAGTTATCCATAAGATCTAGCCAAGATAATTAATGAAGATGGCTACACTGAACATCAGGTTTTCAATACAGACAAAATAGCCTTATAGTGGAAGAAGATGCCATCTAGAACTTTCATAGCTAGAGAACAGAAGTCAATGCCTGGCTTGAAACCTTTAAAGGACAGGCTGACTCTCAGGCACTAATGCAGCTGGTGACTTTAAGTTCTGACCTACTACTCAGAAAAAAAAGATTCCTTTCAAAACATTACTGCCCAATGATAATGGACCTGGGCACCCAAGAACTCTGATGGAGATGGACAACGAGATTAATCTTGTTTTCATGACCGCTAACACAACATCTAAGCCCATGGATCACGAAGTAATTTCCACTTTCAAGTCTTATTATTGAAGAAATACATTTCATTGGGCTATAGCTGCCATAGAGCATGATTCCTCTGATGGATCTGGGTAAACTAAACCAAAAATCTTCTGGAAAGGATTCACCTTTCTATTTCGTCTACTCTAGATGCCATTAGGAACATTTGTGATTCATAGGAATAGATCAAAATATCAACTTTCACAGGGGTTTGGAAGAAGTTGGGTGACTTTGAGGGGTTCAAGACTTCAGGGGAGCAAGTCGCTGCAGATGGGTAGGAAAGAGCAGGAGAACTAGAATCAGGAGTGGAGCCTGAAGATGGGACTGACGGGCTGCAATCCGATGATGAAACCTGAACGGATGCTCAAAGAAAAGTGGTTTCCTGAGATGGAATGTACTCCTGGTGAAGATGCCGTGAAGATGGTTGAAATGACAACGAAGGATTTAGAATATTCCAGAAACTGAGTTGATAAATCTGCAGCAGGGTTTGAGAGGACTGACTCTAATTCTAGAAGTTCTCCCATGGCTCCAATGCTATCAAACAGCATTGCATGCTACAGAGAAATCCTCCATGAAAGGAAGAGTCCATTGATGAGGCAAACTCATTGTTGTCTTATTTAAGAAACTGCCACGGCCACCCCAACCTTCAGCACCCACCACCCTGACGTCAACAGCCATCACCATGGAGGGAAGACCCTCCAGCAGCAAAAAGATTATGACTCACTGAAAGCTCAGACGACGGTTAGCATTTTTTAGCAATAAAGTATTTTTAAATTAAGAAAAGTATATATTATTCTTTCGACATAATGCTGTATATACTTCATAGACGATAGTATCATGTAAACATAACTTCTATATACACCGGGAAGCCAAAACATTCACTGGACTCTCTTGATTGCGATACTGGCTTTACGGCAGTGGTTTGGAACCAAGCCCGCAGCACCTCTGAGCTGGGCCTGTACTATGTGATGAACGCTCTGCTGGCAGTGTCGGCACACTGGGAGGAGGCTACCTGCTCACTGGAGTAAGGCACAGGTGTAATGGTGTCCTGAAGTCCAGTTTGCACCCGTTAGCAAGAGCTGACTATTCTAGTGTCATGAATTTTAGAAGCTGGTTGATTTTATATGGGTAGTTAGAGATCAGCCATGGTGCGCACATTTAGACCACAGAAATTGGCAAACGTCAGAAATCAGGTTTTCTTAGAGCTGGTCGTTAAACATTTATGGGCATGCGTGTGTGCGCCAACGTGTGTGTGCATGCGTGTGTGCATGCAGACAAGTGCGCATGTGCAGAGTTGCTAAAAATCACAAGGAAGCAGCCTAGCGACAGGCAGACCTGGTACTCCCTGCAGAAGGACACACGGTCTCGGCACACTCACCAGTCTGAGGTTCTTCATCGCCTGGGGGAACATGCCTTGGTGCAACTGTAGTTTGCCCACTTTCATTACCTGCACCCCTCTGACAGGATGGCTTCCGGGGAAAAAAATCCTGGAAGAAACCAAAGGGCAAACAGGGTCAGCAGCTCTCACCTTTGCAGTCGGCATTCCATCAGGAGACCATGAAGGGGGGTGGGGGGCAGACCCCATTGACCCTTATCAAGAGGAAGCTAGCTGGGTAGTCAGGACGGGGTGGCATCCTGTGTTAGGAAAGAAATGACAGGACTGGAAAGTCTCTCTAATCAACACGAGAGAAAGGAGACAAGGTCTGCGTTTCTCTCTGGGGGTGGGTCGGAGAGACCAGTTGATGAGCTTATACTCCAGCCTCCCCTGTGAGGCTCCAGCACCTAGAACAGCCTTTGAACAGAAGATGGCCACTCAGTACATATTGAGTCGATGAATGAAGTGTTCACGACTCCCCACGGAGATACTACCATGCCCTCCTTTTAACTGCCAAGCCCTTGGAGTTCATCATGGCCCATCTTTAGTACAGGACCTGTGTATTTACTTATCTCACTGGATTACAGAGCTTTTATTCTGGCCCCCCATCTGTGTTCACCATGATGTCCTGCATGCAGGAGGAGCTCAATACAAGCTTGACCTCTTTCCCATGTAACAGAACAGAAGAGGGTGTTGTAAGGAGAGCAAAGAATGAAAACGAAGGGCTATGCTCCAAACCTGATATAACTTCCATGTGATTCAACAAGAATTTATTATAGCAGAGTCAATAAAATGTGTACAGTTTGGCCGCTTCTATCCCCTGCAACATCTATCCTTAGAGTCTACCGAACTCCTCCTATATGTACAGGATTGTTCCTGGGGCTGGAGGCTGTCTAGCTATAAGCTTTCCCCTTAAGGCCCAATAATCCCACCAGACACAAGACAAACATCCATACCACAGTTACAAAATACGCCAGGAGAGGGCATGATTTTGTGCCCAAATGAGGCCTACCTTAGTACATGGTAATGCTCAGTTCAAGGGGATTGAATTACATTGAGAGAATAATGTAAGAGTTATGAAGAGAGAGAGGTGCTGGTGGTTGGTTGGACCGAAGGTTTCCTGGAGGAAGGAAACAGGATATAAACTGGCTCTCAAGGTTTGGGCAAGCCTGGCTGGATGGGGAAAAGGGAAGCGCATTTACACTGCTAGCATGAGCAAGGGCACACTCCAAATGCTGCTTGTCCAGAGACCACAGGTTCTGCCCTAAGAGTCATGCCTCACATAGGGCTTGCCATGTGCCAAGCTCTGCTCTGACCATTTCTCACTTGTGAACTCATGGAACCACATTTAAGCTCTACTGTGTAACAGAGAAGAGGCAGATCTACCAGGAGACACATATATTCTCTGGTAAGTGGACACACGTCTCCTCCTCATTCCTTCTCCCTGAACCTCAACTCTTCCCCACACGAAATGTGATAGAGAAACTCCTTTCATTCGTGCTCTTCAAAAAGTGGAAAGCAGTCCTTGAGAGGGAGGTATTTCAATCGATAGAAGGTCGGCTATGCTTCTTTGAAAGAACTGCGAAGGGAGGGGGAGGGGAGAAACAAAAGCAACACCTGGGTCTTGGATTTTTCTTCATCTCTTGAGTAGACCAGGAGATCAATCACTTCACCCCTCACCCCACAAAATGAACATCATTATCTACTTGTGTGGAAGAGATTTTAAGATTTGCAGACAAAAGGCTTAAGTACAGGACACCATTATCAGGAGGTAATTGCCCCGGACACTTTCCCTGAAAAGCACACCTGAATTTGGGATTTGATTTTATTGCTATGAATGTGGAATAATTAAATTTAAAGGCAAAAAGGAATTTTATACTAAAAATCATATCACTAAATGGATGTCTGTCATGTCAGTTAGCAGAAGGAAAGAAAAATCCTTGGTTCCATGCTGGGAGAGAAAGTGGCAAATAATTATGCCCTGACAGGTACCTGCTCTTGTTGCTTAAAGATATTAAAAAAAACAAAGTGAAGTTCAGTCAGGAGAGGATGAGGGGAATGTGTCTGCGAGGGGGACTTGCACATAAATATTTATGGAGCAGTGTCGTGGCTCTGGCGAGCACTGACCATGTGCCTGGATTGTTTCTGGAAGCCTCCCAGCTGCCATCTGGAATAACAATCACGACTACTTGCTGGAGTCACACCCACAGCAACACCGGTGAAGCTCACTCCTGCTGGGAGAAGGTCCCCAGCAAGGGCACGTGGGTGACCGTGATGAGGACAGATGAGGGCCTGCTGGCTGTCTTCAATCATGGCACTGCCAAAAATGAAGGCCAGCAAAGAGTCTGACCCAGGAACAGCCTCAGGGGGGCCTAGGAGTGTGGGGACCAAGGCAGGAGTCTGAGTGGGAAGGGGAAAGGGTAGGGGAGGCTATATGATGCTGTGTTCTGTGCCCAGGGTGGTAAGGAATGAGAAGTCCCAGGAGAGTCCCTGCTCTGGCTGGGACACAGTCTAGTTGCAGAAGTGAGGCAGATAAAATCATGACACGGAGAGCAGTGTGAGGGCTGCCATGGCACAGACGTGGGGCTCCAGAAGCAGTAGAGCCCTCAGTGACCAGGGGAGGGTTCCTGGAGCCGCATAACTTGAACTAGTCCAGACCAGAAGGGGCCATGGGCTCCTGGGACAGTTGTTGGGGCATTATAAATTCCCTTTCTGTAGGTACAATGCTAGCGATCATGCGCTCCCGAATGCTGGGCCTAGGAGGGAAAAACTGCCCTTGGTGTTTCTGTGGTGAGTAAGTGCCTAGGAAGGAATGTGTTTAAACAAGCAGAGCAAAGCAGCGGCACCCGTACTAGCTTTAACTCAGGCCCATAAGCACCAAGATTGTGCTGCCCTACTTTGCAAGGAGGCTGCAAATCCAGAAAGTGGAATGCCTCAAGCTCAAAGGCTACTGAAGTCCTGGTGGCAGGACCCGCACTGCTGGTCCTGCTGAGGTTTCCCCACATGATGTAATTACCAATTACACAGCTTCACTACAGGTAGCAGTCTGGCATTGAAAGCAGGAAAAAAACATTGATTGTTCGGGATGATTTTTTTTAGAACTGATGTAAAAGACGTGACTGAATTTAAAAGAAGAGCTTAACTTGCCTCTATAAACCGTATTTCATAGTAACCAAAGAGATCAAAGAATGATGGAGAATTTTATGATGGATGGATTACGTTGTTACCATCAGAACCCACTGATCAATGTTAGCATCCTTACAGTGTAAAAATCAGACATCGTGTGCTCTCTGATGTCATACAACAGGAATTATTCTGCACTACCTATAAAGCATCCTTGCCAAAAACAAAACTGAATTTAATCAAGTCCATGCAGTTAAATTCCATTTCATAGGAAAAACAAGTGATAGATGATCAAATAAAAGCAACCAGCTAAACCGAGATATGGGAAATTCTACAGGACTTTGATGCAGAATTTCAACAGGTCAATGGCATGAAAAGAAAAAGATGGCAGGGGAGGAGAGCACTCTAGATTAAAAGAGACTCAAAAGATACAACAACCAAATGTCACATATAGACCTTGTGTATTTGACCTCAAACAAAACAATCATTAAAAGACATTTCTAGGAATTCTGGGGAATCTGAACATGAAACAGCATTGTTGGCATATAAGGAAATGTCCACATTTTTCCAAGATGCAAGCTAATGAATGGATAAAATGATGTAATGTCTGAGATTTGATTTAAATTTCCTCAGCAGAATTTCTCTTCCAGCAATGGTGGATTAGTTCGTTTCAGACCGAACTCCTTGTTAAAAACAAGAAAAGTTAGACAAAATTTACAAAATAATTGTTTGAAGGTATCACAGACCCACTGAGGCCGAGGGATCTGGAAGAGTCAAAACTGCGGAAAGAACAGAAGCTCAAGAAGGTGATCCTTAAATTTGTTGCCACTTTTCCCTTTGCTGACTTGAACGCAGAGGCAGACAGGCTCAAGAGCTGAGCAGAGGTTTTGGCAGTCTGAGAAACGGACACACAGAAACGAGCTCAGGGTGCAACAAGGATGGAAAGGAGCCCTGGTAAACATCCTTGGCTTTCATTTGTGACCCCCAAAGGGTAAGGTAAGAGTAGTAGTAACCCAGAAAGAGACCAGCTCTCACAAAGACTCGATCTGTTCAAACCCTGAATGGATTAAGGTGATCTGTTCCTACAAACTGCCAGAAGCAAAAGTAAATTCTCTTTGAAGTAAAATGTCATCCTGAACCTATAATTATTCCTGTTCAATGTCCAACTGCAGGACATTCAGTAAAATTATAACCAGGCATACAAAAAACAAAGTACTGTCTGAAAACCAAGAGAAAAAAAACACAATGAAACAGACCTATAGGTACTCAACAAGTCAGGTCTTTAAACCAACAGGTCTTTAAATGTAAAAAGTATGTTTGACAACTTAAATAATAGAAAAGAACTTTAGCAAAAAATTAGAAATAAAAAATAACCAATGAAATTTCTGGAACTGAAAAATAGAAAACTGGAGTCAAGAACTCAATAGCTTAACATCAGATGCATCACAGCCAAAGAAAGAATTAGTAAACTGGAAGGCAGGTCAAAACATGGAGAGGCAATGAAATGGCAAATAAAGGACGCGGGTCTCATATATGTTAACTAGAATTTCAAATTAGGTTAGAAAGGGAATGGGGCTGAAGCAATATATGAAGCCATAATGGCTGAGAATTTCCAAAAGTAATAAAAGACAGCAAATAACAGATTCAGAAATGCTAAGAACCGCAAAATAGAATAAAACAATTCAACAAAAAGGGGGGAGGGATAAAATAAGTGTTGCAAAATTTTGATAATTATTGAATCTGGATGAGGAATGTAAGAAAGTTCATCATATTACTCTATTTTTGTGTATGTTTGAAATTTTCCATAATAAAAAACAAGACACTGGGTTTTACTTTTTCACTTTTGGGAATTATGGCCTCTGGCAGATAACTGCCTCAAGTTTAAAAAATTCTGGATTTTTAATAAATTGTAAGCCTCATATAGAAATGACATGGAAACTCACAGGGGACTGGGCCAAGGAAGCGTGAAAAGGCAGATGGAGTCATGTG